AGCACAGTGCCCGGCCCCTCGGAGCCCGCTGCCTCCCTTCCTGGCCGGCTGTCACAGGACAAGCAGGAAAGAACCGGACCTTCCCGAGACACACAAAACTCCTTTTTCAGAAGTTTGCTGTTTCCCTCTTTCTGTGAAGCTGCACAGATGCTTTCCAAGGAAGCTTCTTCTGAGGTGGACTCGGGGCCTCCCGGAGGCCGTCGTCTCAACGCACACAGCTGCTTTCCCTGGAAAAGGAAATCAACTGTCATGGACTAGTCAGCTGGGGCGGTGGGGCTGGCTCTGATAAAATAAGACACACATTGTTTAAATAGAAGTCGTAGAGAGATAACGAGGGACAACAGATAACATCTTTTGTAATAGCATCAGAAGGAAACTGATTCATGAAAGGTTGAATCACACCCATGCAAGAAGCCACTGCTGGCCAGGATCCGGGAAGGTGGGATCCCAGCTGATTAGGATGGGGGGTGCTTTACAGCCTCAGGAAGTTCAGGCAGTCAGGCACTGCCTAGGCAAAGGGGCTCATCTCCTCCCACCCCTGGCCGAGAAAGGCAATGTGCGTGGGGTGGGGCGGGGCCCAAGACGCCGGACTTGGAAGTTCTTGGAAAGTGGTTCCAATTAGGAGGCTCGTGAACAGCTGGCTCTGGACCAGCCTTGTCTTGAGTTGGTGCCCCAAATCCTGGGTTGGGTTTTTTCCTGGAACACAAGCACACCATGCAGTTCTTCCTTGGATGCCCTCTGGGGCCAAAGCAGGAGGTCGCCCTGCATGCAGACCTTCACTGGGGCTTCTGGTGCGCTCGTTGTCCTCACAAGGAGGTCATCCGAAGAAACCAGATCCATGCTGGCATATTGTTGGCACGGCTCTGTAGGAGGCAACACTCCCTTTCTTTCTCAATTCTGCAAGTTGGCACTTAATTCCTCACAAACACCATATTAATCAGGAGCAAAGCTATTCCCCTTCCCGCCCTCTCCCAGTAAGTTACTACTGAGATGTTTGAGATGTGATATTCACAGCAAACTGGAGAATGGTCACGAAGATAAGCATTTTTTTCTCTTTAATGTTTCCTGGTGGTGGTGGTGGTGTGGGATGTCAACTCCAATTCAGAGACACCTTCCTTTTAGGTAAATATTTTTCAAATTTGTGTAACACTTAAAATGGAACCTGTGTCCTTTCTTTGAGCAATGCTATTTTTTCTCCAATCTGTGGATCAAAATAACTCCCCTGCTGGTTTAACTCGTCATCTGGATTCACTCCCTGCCATCATCAGGTAACAGCTGGGGATGGAAGGGACTTCTCTGAAGTTGGAAAAGAACCTTCCATTCCATCCATTAATTTTCCATCCACAATCTAAGAGGCCCCTGGTTAGCCAGGGGATAAGAACAACAATGCAGAATGCAAAATGTCAAGTTACAAGAACCAACGGGGGAATTTTTATACCAAGAGATCCAAACTGGAAGCAAGGAGGAATTTCCCGACTCTGAGCGCTGTGGAACAGCCTCCATTCCTGGAGGTTTTCAAGCAAAGGTGGGACAGCCCTTGGGATGGCATGAGAGTTCCCACCCTGAGCAGGTGGACTAGGAGACTCCAAGTCCCCTCCAACCCTAGGATTCCAGGATTATGGATTCAGCACAGAGGAAGCCACGCTGCCCAGAGCACAGAAGTGGGACCGTTTGACCATCACGGAGCTTCCACCGGTGACTGAGACACATTTAAACATTTCGAATAAAGGTGAATGGATTTGGTATGACACCATCCAACCTGAAGCCTCTTCCAGGAGAACATGAAGGCAGCCCCACAAGGGGAGGTTGACGCACATCACAGGCAGCTAAGAGCCATCAGTACGGTTGGGCCTGAGGAGGATAAATCCACCAGGAAGGCTTTCTGTGGAAATGCTCTGGTTTCACAAGATTCTTTACTGCTTCAAGAAGAGCTCACCCTGCTATCCTACCTCCCTGCAGAAAATGTTTACAGCTGCATTAAAAGCCACGGCACAATCCTCATATTAAATGCCATTTTAAACTAACTGCCATCACACAGCCTGGTCCCTCCCCTCTCCCCAATTAACAGGGAATCTTGCAAAGTTATCCCACTCAATCTCTCTCGAAAGAATCCAGCACTTAAGAGTTCAAGGTGGCTCTGGGGCAGCGGGGGGTGGGGGGGCATAATTTGTCTACAACCTTTCCCAGCTATATATTTCCAGTTAAACCCAGCCCATCGCTCCTCCAAATTCCTTATTAAAAGGAAGAGAGAGATCTGCATGTTGATGGCTGCCCGCACATCTCCGCCTCCTTAGGCTGGAACAGCTGTTGGCCCCCCAGAGGAAGAAGTTACTTTTTTTTTTTTTTTTTTAATCTGCTCTCAGTCGTTACCGACTCTGCAGTGACTGCTTGGACGAGTCCTTTTGCAGTTTTCAAGGCAAGTGTTTCGGCAGTGGTTTGCCAGAGCCTCCTTCCTAGAGCAGAGCCCAGCTGGCGAGTGCAGGAGGCAGGGTTTCCGTTCCTTTCGCGCCCTTTTCGGGCGCACACAGTTTTTCGCGCTTACCGGCAACTGCTCCCGACTCCTTTTTGCAAGGCACCGCCAG